TCATGCCTAGTTATATATAACTGATGTCTATTCACGGCTCAGTACTATACTTATTCAATTAAGACTCAACGTATTTATTAATATGTCTCCGAAGCAATTTATGAATATATATTAAATAGATTTTTCTATTCAACTTTCGAAATTAATAGAAAAATAATTTAAATTAAATATGTTAATACATATTGTATTACTGTAATATTAAAAAAAATATTAAATATTTTACAGATAAAATACTTTATGATTCCGAAATATATTACGAGCTTCCTTTCAATTTTTTTTTTTTTTTTAATTTAATATTGGCAAAATTTATACAAGGCAAATACAAAAACGAACCCTATTGATTACAAAAAATCAAAATCCATCCGGAATTTACAAAGAAATCTCATAACATGCAGACGAATTGAGAATTTGCATAATAATTGCTAAAAAAAATGGCTATTTACAATACTAGTGATCCGGCCTGACTTCGCACGGATAGATAGAAATTTCTAAAATAATATTAATTCTATGTAATTCACTAATAATGTAGCTTTCCATATAAGTGAAATAATTTTTAAAATCGATTGAGTATTCTTGAGTTTATCCATTACAAATATAAAAATTTTTCATCTTTATAATACAGACGTATAATCTGTTTCTTTTATAATTATCTACATGGCAAGTTTAAAAGACTTAATCATTATTTCTTTGCGGCGGCGTGATAGCAGCGTGATAATACTAGGGTGATAGGGTACGATTGATGGTAAAAAGATAGGGGGGTGCGAAAATGGAAACTGTAGATTTGACAATGGAAACCAGCAAAAACGCGCTAAAATTCGAGACTGTTTTTCAAGTATAGAATTTGAGTACTGAAAGTATGAAGGGACCTTAAGCACGGTACAAAATTTTTTTACATAAGTGCTCAAAAAAGGTCAAGTGAAGTGTCTATGTATTCGGGACGGAGTGAAAAGCAGGAGAACAATACAAGAACAATTCCAAAACAGATAGGTAGGGAGAAAAGTTATAGAAAATAGCGAAAATTAGGTAAGAAAATTAGGTAGAAATCGGCCGGCTCATTGACTCTCCTAAAATACGTCTTGGCACAAAGATGGCTAGTTCATCCTTCATACTCATGAACTAATTACAGATGCCTTAGCGGCTCATGATTAAGGGTCTCAGATGGCCCGAAAACTAGTCCAGTATTCTCGAATAAAATACACGGAACCAGTTTTTCTTACAGTTTATTTACAAGTAAATAGATACTCGATCCAGAACCGATTCCTGAATTATTGAACAGGATACCCGTCTCTAGACAATCTTGTAAACTATATTAAAAATGTACACGTTTTGTGTACATAAATACAAATGGAGGTGTTTCATTTTAACGATCAGTGAACGGAACGATGCTCTCAGGCTTTCACCAGTAACAGACAGGCGTTACTTATCAAATATTCGAATGAATTATATAAATTACAGTCCAGAGGGAGACTTTGTAACTGAGCTCTATGCATGGGTGTTTCTATCTTCATTTATCGCACGAAATAGATATGTTTTTGTATTTCTACGAGCTAGGTAACTATTATTATTTAGCCCAAATGGTTTCGCTACAGAACAAGGGTCTCTCCTTTGTCTTTCTAGTGGGCAATAAGATGTAACTATTCTAAAGAGGGGGAAGGAATTGTTAGTTATGAGGAGATTAGTCCCCACTACTATCAATGTACCATATCAGGTCGACCTCCACGCGGTTCCTCCTGGAAAGCATCGTGACTAATTTATCATTGAATTCGTCACGATAGGCTAACTGAATTGCCTTTTAATTCTCACCAATCATCCCTCACTGGAGCCCCGCCAGTGTATACCGATAGCGCAGGTGGGGTATCATTCCATGTTCATCCATTAAAAAAACTATCCTAGAGAGTCTCCTGTCCCATTGCTAGCAATATGTCCTGTCAGGTCGACCGCCACACAGTGTTCTCTAGAAGCCAACGTAGTTAATTTGTTAGACTAGAATAGAAATATATATTTTTTTAAATTGGCATTTTGTTATAATTCTACTACTGGGTTCGAAATGTTGTCATCTGCTGAGATAAAACCGCAAGTAACTCTACAAATACTTTTTTTCAATTTATTTATGTACAAGATAATCTTACATTTGCATTTTTTTTATACAACTTAGAATGGCAAACAAGCTGACGGTCCACTTGATAGAAAGTGGTAACCGGCGCCTATAGACATGAGCAGTACCATGGACATAACAGAGTATACTGTTTCGCCCATGATACCCCCCATGCGTTGCCATTTCTGAGGACTCAGGTGTTATTCCTCTGTACTCAGTAAATTCACGCCATATCTCACCCTTCAAACCGAAACACAGCCATGTAAACACAGCTGCTTCATGGTAGAAACACGAACGGGACAGAGGTACCCAAGCAATCGAGTTTTGTACAAAGTTTCCCTCTGCATGGTACTATAACTGCTTTGACGTCCGTGTGGTCCCGACATAAATTAGGCCACCCCTTCCTTTCCCGTGGATGTTGTAAGAGGCGACTAAGGGAGGGCGAGGGATGGGCAGCAGCGTCCCTGTTGAAACGTCTCTAAAGCGTAACTGCGGTTGCCAATCAGCCTGGTGTGGCAACTACTGGAAAAATTCCCCAACGGGGAGGCTTATGTTTAGTAGTGGACCATTAAGGGCTAATATGATGACGATGATGATTTCTGTGTTGATGATGTGTTAGATTTTTTTTTATACCACTGAGGTGGCAAACAAGCATACGGCCCACCTGATGGTAAGCGGTTACCGTAGCCTATGAACACCTGCAATACCAGAGGTATTACGCGCGCCTTGCCGACCCTGAAGAAACCTCTTTACCCCCCTTTTGAAGAACTCTTTATTGATGTCCCACCAGTGTATATTGATACTGCAGGCGTAGTTACTGTCCTATAGGAATTGTAAAGTAAGTTTGCTTGTTTAAATAAGATCCTGGGGGTCTACCATCAAATGAAATTCCGAATTTTCGGACCCAATTTTGTGTTTTTGTTCATACCGAAATCGACCAAGTAAATGGAGCTTAACATTTCGTTTGTTATAAATCCTACCTTTATGGTAAGTCCAAAGGAACGGTACTTTAGCTTTTTGAATATTTTATAAACGGTATGTATCATGTAATTTTAACATCAAATTTGTGTTTCGTTTCGGACTCGAAATTTCAGAAAACATTTCAAGGTAGGCCCTCAGGTTTCTATACTCCGTCAAAACAATTTAAGTAATGATTTTTTCGGAATTAGACACATCTGAATGTTCATGGTCGTGCCTCTATTTCGATCACTAAGCGATCGGTAGGATTGTACAGCTAGTTAGAAACTTTTACATTTTTCTTTTAAGGCTTTAAGAAAAAAAAAACATTTTTTTTCTTCTTAAAGCCCTTATTATCATTTAAACGGTATTTTGCACTAGACAGCGTCACGGTTTTCTGTAGGGTTGTTATGTTCTTGAGACAGCGAGCAACTAAGATAAAAGTACTCGACACTTTTGTGAACCACTTACGTACTTGCCGTCAAAACTCAGCAGTTTACAACTAAAAGAGCAATTTAAACACGCGCTTCACGTTTTTGTCGTCGACTGTCAAATTCAGATGCTTTTATTTATATTAGGAAATATTGAAAAAGTCTTTTCTTTCGTTCGCTAAAAGAAAGAATGTAATAACAATAACATTATGAATTTCATACGATAATCTGAACTATATAGACCATAGACAAAAACGACGTCAATCACAGATGTCAACGACAATGACAGAATTAGATATCTCAATACAACCAAGATATATTTTAAGATAGATAGATAAATAATTTATTTGCATTACTTACAGCACACAAACAGCAAAAGACACAAATGCAAAGAAAAAAGATAAAAAAAAAGATACATGTACAAAAAAATAATAAAAAAAAAACAAAAACAAAATCAGAATGCCTAAAATTAGTAACAATTTTTTTTTTCTTCATGCGTGTGCCACAGTAATACAAAATGGCCACAACTCAGCTTTTTGCTTTTTGTTGTGACCAAAGGTGAGCCTCGAAATACCACTAAAAAAATAAAAAAAAAATTGAAAGAAAGAAGAAAGAAAAATATTTCTTAAAGAGTGATTGTATCTAATTAATGATATTATTTAAATGAAAACTTTGTTTAGTGTATGTGTAAATAAATAAAATAAATAAAAAAAATAATTAATATAATTTGATAAATTAATTTTCCACTACAGAGCGTAAAACGGAATTTGAATCAAGATGAACATAAGAAATGAGATTAAAAAATGAAGTCAATACTTCATCATAATCATCATCATCATCATCATATCAGCTATTATCAGTTCACTGTACAACAATACTTACTGTTAGAATACAAATAAGTTGACGGCTCACCTAAAGGTCAAATCTAAAAGTAACTTACGTCAGGAACTTGATAAGGATACACTACATATTATGTTACTGGTATATAATGGAAATGTGTTGCTGTGTGGTTTTGCCATAGAATAGTCCACCCATTCCTTTCCCGTGGGTGTCGTAGGAGGCGACTAAAGGAGGGCGAGGGATGGGCAGCAGCGTCTCTCTTAAAACATCTCTAAAGCCTAAATGCGGTTGTCATTCCGCCTTCCAAGCGTGGCAACTGTAGTGTATTATGTTCACATACTGGCCACTAATAATTTTGTAAATACTGGTCGGTAACAATTTGTTCTATTTATTCTTTCAATGAATAAATTAGTGTTTAACCAACTCGCTTGCGTATCACTACAGCAACTACTAGCAAAACCCCCCCAAGAGGGAGGCTTATGTTCAGCAGTGGACAGTTAAAGGCTGATATGACCAGTGCATAAATACTATAAAAAAATATAAATACAAACTATATATGATTAATGAATATAAAGCAATACATAGCAACACCATACGCGTTATATGTAATATATAATATGTACATCAGTCACATTTGAGCTTGATGCGCATTGTCTAAAGATTATTTGATATTCCAGGCTACAAGACTTCAGATGCGTGTGGTGTCGCAAATGTGTACACGCTGCATGCAAGCCCAACTGGCGAGCAGCGTGCATGCTCGGTCCGGCGCGTGCCTCCGTTGTCCCACCCACTAGACTACACTCCGTCGGCCCAGATGATGCCTGGGTTCCTGATAGGCCACCGAATGCTTCGCCGCTTATTGTTTTCGTTAACTCACGTTCAGGTGAGAACCTAATAGTATGTGCTCAAAGTTATTCTGTAGATATGAAAAGTTTTAGTACAGTAATACCTACTGTCTTTCTCAGTTTTTTTATCTTAGAAAACAAAATATATATCAACGTTTTTCAATGTCACAATGAAGCAACGACCTCATTTACTACCTTTCGTGCGTTGCCACTCCTATGTTAATGAATTACTTAGCTCTTTAACTAAAACAAAATAACTGCTTCTAACGACACAGCTTGAAATTTTATTAATTAAATCAAACTAGATGGACTAAATGATGATAAAACTTATTAAGGATTCGAAATTTGAAAATCTTACCATTTAAGGTGACAACCAAGGCGTGAAATTTCTCCGGCGCTTCAAGCAGCTGCTAAATCCAGCCCAAGTGTTCGAACTGAGCGGCGCGGGACCCAGACTCGGTCTGCGGTTGTTCAGGCACTTTGCGCCACTCAGGGTACTTGTATGCTCCGGAGACGGCTCCGTTGGCTGGGTGCTTCAAGAAGTTGATAAGTTGGATATGCATGTAAGTATATTTTAGCTGTTTTGTCTAAAACTTATTTCAACAGTTTAAACATTTTTAAAGAGATACTACAGCAATTAATCTCTTCATTAACTTTATAAAAAGTGATTACATTCACAAGTTGCCGAAGATCTGAGTATTATGAAGTATTATAATTTTATCTATGGTTATGCCTCTTATTAAAATACCTTAACCTATACCCTGGCTAGAATAGACACCTACTTCTTACATACATACATATCTGTCACGCCTGTCTCCCATTAGGGTAGGCAGAAACAATGGAACGCCAAATGCTTCGATTCAAACAAACCTCTTTCGCTTCTTCCACATTCATCAATCTTTTCATACACCCTCGCCGGTTACGGGTACTTTTAATTTGGCCCTTCTTCAGCACCTACTTCTTATTTATGTAATACTGAATAAGAGTTTAAAGTAGTCTTCTCAGAGTAAGAATTTTAATGAATTTGAGTAACCTTACTAGATCTTAAGTACGACAATCTTGTTCAAGAAGCATCGTTCTCAATCTAAGTAATACTAAATTTTTTTTTTTTATATTTAAATTTCTACTATCCTCTTGTTTCGTCGTTCAATACATATATTTAGTTTAATATTTAAATATCAGAAATATATCTTAAAGCGTCAAGTACAAACGGCTGTGCTACCTCTGGGAACTGGCAATGACCTCGCGAGAGTTTTGGGCTGGGGTGCTTCTTGTGACGATGCAGCGAACCTGCAACAGCTGCTCGAACGTTACGAACGGGCGTCTACCAAAATGCTTGATAGGTGAGTACCATGCTCATAACAACCTGAATAAATAAAGCACTGGAAATGGTAATTTCGGTTGGGTACTAATAAAAGCTAAAGTTTATTAGCTGACTACTAGAAAGTCTCTTCTCGTGGCATATGAATTATATGAAAAGTGTATAATATGTATATATTATAGCAATTTATGCCTTCGAACCAAATTTCTTAAATTGACAAAAATAAATACGTACATACACAATGACTTTCTTATCTCAAGTAAAAGACTCAGACTCTCAATCTGATAAATATAAAAAAAAGTAATGCACTAAAACTATCAAACATCAGGTGGTCAATAATGACCTTCGAGAGAGCGCTAACGGCACCGCCTCCGCCACCAGCACCTCCTGACGTCTTGGAAGAGAGCACACTGCTAAAAAACTTGCAGGACATTATGCAGGTAAATTGACACTTTGAGTAAAATTTCAATAAAAATGCAATAATTTATAGACAAACTAACACAAGTTACATTTTTTATCACAATGTAGCTGTGTGGAAAATGGTTCATAGTTTACAGTTAAATAACTGATGAAAGATCTTTTTATTTATTAAATTTAGAATGGCAAACAAGCTAACAGCCCATCTGATGGAAAGTGAGTACTATCACGTACAGACATGAACAGCACTATTGGCATAACAGAGTATACTGTGACATATATGGTACCCACATTTCATACGTTGCCATTCCTGAGGTGTTATGACTCCGTGCCTTATAATTTACCAGAGGGAGACTTTGTACAAAAGTCGATTGCCTGGGTACCTCTGTCCCATTCGTGTTTCAACCGTGAAGCAGTTGTGTTTGCATGGCTGTGTTTCGGTTTGAAGGGTGGGATATGGCGTGAATTTACTGGGTACAGAGGAATAACATCTGAGTCCTCAAGAATGGCAACGCATGGGGTGTATCATGGGCAAAACAGTATACTCTGTTATGTCCATGGTACTGCTCGTGTCTATAGGCGACGGTTACCACTTTCGATCAGGTGGGCCGTCAGCTTGTTTGCCATTCTAAGTTGTATAAAAAAAAAAAAAATTCACTGCCATATCCCAATCTTCATACCGAAATATAGACATACAAACACAGATGTTTTATAGAAACTATGAACAAATGACTTTTATACAAAATCTTCTTCTGGTAATAATAATCTTATATCTCTAAAAATCAGAATCTGAGATTACAATCAGGGATGTCCTCTTGTTACTCTGATTAAATATGCAAAAAAATTATTGACTTTTCTTAAAATTATGGGAAGAGGCTATTATAACCCATTATGGACATATATTACTCCCATACATTTTTAAAAGACAACTGTAAACCACAATTTTTTTAAGAGTTTTCGAGCTCGTGTTTGAAGAGACGTATTTGTGGCGCAAAAGGATAATCATGCCACATAGTCTGACATTTGTTACGCAATTAAAAAATATCTGAAAGGGTGTATTCAGATTTTTTGGTTGCGTAGCCCTGCATTCAGTAGCAATTCTCTGACAAGAAATCCTTTTTGACGCTGGGTAAACCTGTAGATGAAAGAATGATTAATGTATTGGTTTACTCGTATAATTTCAAGGCGGGGGAGGTAAGCAGCGAGGCATCGTCGTCGCTGCGCGCGGGATGTGCGCGGCTGGCGGCAGCGGGCGAGCGTGCAGGTGGCGGGGCTGCGCGCGCTGCACACCGGCTGCGACGCGCGTTGTCGCTGCTGCTGCATGCGCGCGCGCACCTCGCGCACGACCACGCCACCTGCAAGTAAGTGCTCGACAGAACCAGCAAGAGCCACTAGTGACTGTAGGAGTAAATAAAATGATGTCCCCGCATTGCCTACCTTTTTCACTTACAAATCTTGAACCTATTGTATATTCAATCTGTTTTCAGCTTTTCTATAACTCTGTTTTAAACTAAAACGTTGCTTAGTCTAACGCACCTGCGTTAAAAAGGGAACGACATTTATCACAGCACTTAGCACCACCTAGCGAAGTCTTTTATTTCCTTCAATTAATGTAAGTATTGTGATAAATTATAAAAACTACAGTGTGCTTCTGTTATTAGATCCTGGGAGCCGCTAGAGACGAGCGACAGTGAACCGGAAGCACAGCCTGTAGCTGAAAAAGGCAGTATTGAAAAGACTGAAAAAGTAAGTAAAAGTAAAAGGTAACAAATATTTAAATTAAAAGTTCTTGATTGAAAAAGTCTACATCCCATCAGAATACAAACCCGGAACACTCAGCTAACCAGACCCTATCTTTCAAAAGTCGTTACTTCTGATAACAATCACCCATCGTGTACACTTGTAACATTTGACGTCTAACACACTGTGAAGGATTTTCTGCATTTGTCATTGTCATCAGTCTATTTAATATTTTAGCCCGATATTAATAAGTTTGTCTAAAGCCAGTGATATTTTAGTAATTGTGAAACTGAATAACTGAGAGACCAATCCTCGTTATTTGATACAGATGATTGATCACCTCGAAGTAGGAGAGATAGAATTGGGAATGAATTCTAATCATTCTCAATTTTTACTCTGGTTATAATGATCGATGATGATTCCTTATCGTTTTTGGTCACAGCGACCGCTTTGACACCTCTATTATTAATCAATTGTCTGTATGGAGGGGTTGATGTTGGCGTCGGTATGCTTGGATGTAGCATAGCCAATCTTTTTAATAAAAGTTCTTGCACATAGCGGGCATGCAAACACAACATCGCTGTACTTATAAATATATTGTTGCTAGTTGTCGATTTTTCATCTCTCGTTTCTTTGCGTCCAGTTGAGATGTGACATTTCAAAAGTATTAATTTTCTATTTTGTTAGATTTCTATCTCTACGTAAATAATAAATAAGTCTTAAGTTGGTCTGAGGCTGGTGGTGTAGAGAGATGCGGTGTGCGCAGGAGCAGCTGAACTGGGCGGTGCGCGGGTGCTCGCTGGCGGGCCGCGCCGACAGCGTGCGCCGCGCGCTGCGCTCGCTCGTACGCACGCTTGCGCACGTCTACCCGCAGGTGAGCGACGGGGGGGGGGGACTATTTTAATGGGTAATAATGGAATGGTAACCCCACCCGTGCTATCGGTATACACCGGCGGGGCACCAGTGAAGGATGATAGGATGAAGCAGGTCAGTTAGTGTTAGTTCGTGACGAATTCAATAAGAATTGTTTCCAGGGGGAACCACGTGGAGGTCGACCTAATAGGGCATATTGCTAGGAATATTGCAACAAAGTCAGTATCTCGATCATTTAAAAAGGATTCTATCATTAAGTAAAGTTTTTGGCGTTTTGTATTTCCATTTAAAAGTCTACTATTTTAATACAAACACCCAGAAATCAATGAAAGATTTATAAAAATCTTAGTAAGCAGTTTTAAAACAAGTAATTATACATGAGTAGCGAATTTTAAACTATTACAACTCACAAACCAATAAATTGGTGCATTTAACTTATAGTTAGTAAGCTGAAAAACAAAAGTTTTGCAACTAACCATTGAAATGGTGACACGCCAGGAGGTGGAGTCGATAGACACGTGCACGAGCGGAGCGGATACCAGTACGGGAGCGGAGGCGGGCGCAGAGGCAGTAGCGGGAGCGGGCGGGCTCACAGTAGCGCCCGTAGAACTGTCTGCGCTGCCCGTGCCGCGAGCGTTCGCAGACAGCCGACGATCCTCTGCAGCCTCTGCCGTTTCAGCTACCTCTATGCACCCAGACAAGTAAATAATATATTTTATGTATATTGTTTCAACAGTCGACAAATTCCTTCGACTATTCCAGGAGAGATTATAGTCATAATTATATTTTTTATTATTAGTTTCTCTGAAAAAAACACAGCACATTCACACAGCTCCAAGCCCGAACAGTGTATTTTGTATAAATATAATCACATAATTCCGTGAAGCCCTGGTTCATTGTGAATAGCACTTTATACAGGCTATAATACAGTCTTAAATAATTACTAACAATCGTTCGGATTTGTACCTGTCAAAATCATTTTGGATTATTAATTATACAGTATTGACTGGCTGTCGCAAGTCTTGCTGTCTTTATACACTTTCTTGCCAGTTGTTCTCGACTGAATGTACTTCCTGAACTCATTAAAAATGACTAAAATAGGTGTTTTATCAAACATAATATAAACAAACATATTTTCGATTTTGATTTCTTTCATAGGCTTATGATTTTCTTTGACGCCAACTATATATTCTAATAATGCCAATGTCAGGGTAATCGATAGTAGGAATTACAATCGGAGCTCAACAAGAAATGATATTTTTTATATAAGAAGCTCTAATCTTTAATGTGTGTGTGTTCCTTAACTTAGCATCTCTTTATTATCATATATAGAATTCAGTTCGAAAAAATCCGTGAAAGTAGGTCCAAGTTATATCTGAATAATATGCAACATCCATTTTATCTAACCCCTTAGTTTAGTCGTCGCAAACTTTAGACGTCGAAATCATAAAGCAAATTATTGAACTGATCAAGCAATAGAAATATCTAATAAAAACAATAATTTAATTACAGCATTCCAGATGTAGATGAAGACATAGTGAAATTAATAAGCTCTAATCCTCCAGAACAATTTAATTTGGAGGTTGACAAGCCCGAGCGCAGCAAAACTAGTTCCGCTTCGCCCCAAGACCTACTGTCTCTCTCCAACCTCTCCTCCTGTGATACTAGCTCTTGCAGAAACCTCTTCAGGCCCGACACAGAGCGTGGCACTTATAATAGTAGTAGTCTTACCATACCTAACCTAGTTGTCTCAGATGATAGCGATAAGCGAGATTCGATAATACAGGGAGAAACTTATGAATCGGACCAATTGACTATAATAGACATCGACAGACCTTACACGGACGATGTACACTTCCATGAGATGAGCGTAAGGGACACACCGATTAGCGGAGAGTGCACGCCGGAGCGAAAGCTTTCTAGTGTAGATTTGGAGATAGACGCCATTAGTTCAGACGGGTCCAACATTAGTGACGATTTTAGTTTAATATCGGAAATCATAGATGCCAAACCGGAAGAATTAGAGGAAGCCGGTGGGATAGGCCACATCGACTCCCCCGAAGTATCGGACACGACTTATATGAATTCAGAAACGTTACACGGTGAATCCATCATGGACGATATTAGTTCAATGCTCGGACAAGAAGTACTAATGGCTATGATGGGGAAGAACGGCGACAATGAAACGTATACCGATGATACGACTCTGTTCACTTCAGATACAGTATCAGATATAGCCATGGATAGTAGAAATCCCAGTCTGGAAAAGAATGACAAAGTGAAATACATATCCAAAATGAAGGCAGCTAAAGAGGGCGAAGTGGAAAAATTTGGGTTCGAAAATAGAGTATTCTACATCGAAAACGCAACGAAGGTAGAAGAAAAAATTAAATATTGTAGCTTAGCACACTTCGAAGAAGGCAACGATATTGCTAGAAAATCTTTTAGAAAACAACTTAAAAAGAGTATGAAAAAACGCGTTACTGACGATGGAAGTGTAAAACACCTTTTGCCTAAAACAGCGGAAGAGCCAAGAGACAGTCAATTGCCTGTCTTCAGTAAAGAGTCACCAAAAAATTTGCCTCTTCACAGGGATACTGAAAACCACAGCGATGATAAAGAGGATGTACCATCGTTTCCTCAAGTTAGTGTTGTAGTCGAACCCCCATCTCCATCCCACAGCGACGATAAGAAAAGTTTAAAGAATGGAAGCCGTATGGCATCAGTTTTAAGCGACTTATTCGACCAAGCAACAGATACTCTAAGTGTTTATTCACCAGAGCCTACAATAGGGACAACAAGAGAAAGAAGGCAATCAGATAACCCAAAACTGTTAGGCTCAGATCCTGAATATGGAAAATTTTTAAGTTGTTCTCCAGCAGCAACAAGAAGGATATCATGTGGAAGTCTTTTCAAACCTGGTGAACCTGATAAGTAAGTTAAATAATAAATTCATAAATTTTTATAAGAAATTGAATAATTTCAGTCTCATAGAAAATAGTATAAAATATATGGATAGCATAACAGAGATTCTTTAATATCCATAATAAACCGAAACACAGTGATAAATTTTCATTAGACGTTTCCCAAGAAACATATTAATTTTATGTATATTTGAACAGTTACACCTTATATATAATTTATATACGTAGATGAGGTCATACATTTAAAATAGTTAAAAATAATGTAATTCGCTGTTTTATTACAAACAAAACTATTTTCTTCCAACTAGATTATCAACGTCAGTATCCTCAATATGGGGTGAAGGTGGAGCCATTGGAGTATCAAAATCAGATGCCAACGAAAAAGCTAGAAAACTGCCAATTATCAATCCACTAGTTCAATTACCAGCTTGGCCCCACGTCACTCAGGGCTTCATAAGCCAATGCTTGCTTGCAAATGCGGATGCTTTATGTGCTGCAGTCAGTCCATTGATGGATCCAGACGACACACTTTTAGAAGGATTCTATGAAAGAGCAGTAATGAATAACTATTTTGGTATTGGAATCGATGCGAAAATAACACTTGATTTTCATAATAAGAGGGAAGAACATCCAGAAAAGTGCAGATCAAGAGCCAGGAACTACATGTGGTATGGTGTGCTCGGGTCGAAGGAGTGGGTCAATAGGACTTACAGGTAAAATAATCAATACTCAATTATTTTATTTCCATTATTACATAGCAATTTTTCTCAGAATAATTAATATCCGGTAATGCGAAGGGCGCCATTATACCTAAAATGGTTTGGTAATATTATCCATCTCCATAGGCAACATTATAAAGTAAACTTGCCACTTCTGAGGACTAAGATTTCATAACTTTTTTATGTTATCTTTCAAACTGAAAGACAATGTATATATGTACCTAGTCAGTTTTTTGCTACACGGCAAATATAACTGAGATCTCGCTACTAGTCAGCTAAGCATTCGGAAACAAGCCCTCCTCAATCTACAGCCACTGCCACACACCAAGCCATGCCAGGAGGAGCGCTAAAGCCAAGCCAAGCATACGAGTGAAATCTCTAATATGTTATCAGTCTATGTTGAGACGAGCCCATATTTAATAAAAAAATATATGACGTAGATATCACCATATTTTTTGTGTTTCACAAAACTATTTCATTCTTATGACACATTTAAAAAGACGAGTAATAATACAAAACAAATGTATTCATATCAACCATGTTACGTTCCAGACATCTAGGTCAACGAGTGCAATTAGAATGCGACGGCCAAAGAATACCTTTGCCAGAGCTGCAGGGCATTGTGGTACTGAATATCCCGTCCTTCATGGGTGGCACCAACTTCTGGGGCGGAACCAGGGCTGATGATATTTTTCTCGCTCCTTCGTTTGATGACAGAATACTTGAGGTTAGTCATCTAGATTGCCATACCATATCAGCCGTTAATTGTCCACTGCTGAACATAGGCCTCCCACTATTGGGAAATTATGTTCGGCAAGTAGATTTGCTAGCACAGTTAGGTCTGGGAGATGTTTTAAAAGAGACGCTGCTACCCATCGCTTGACCATTATCTACATTAAATAAATACTAAAACATTGATACATAACGTAATTTCGATACATTTCAAACACGTTTATTTCTTTTTTTTATGCAACTTAGAATGGCAAACAAGCTGACGCCCCATGGACATAACAGAGTATATTGTTTCGCCCATGATACCCCCCCATGCGTTGCCATTCCTGAAGACTCAGGTGTTATTCCTCTGTACCCAGTAAATTCACGCCATACCCCACCCTTCAAACCGAAACACAGCCATGCAAACATAACTGTATTGCAAATTTTGTAGTTGTCAATGGCTTAAGGCCTTTCCTTCTGGTTATGTTCAATAGTCGATTATTGACAGCTCATATACGTGCTCACCGGAAGACTGGCCTATACTTTGGTTCGCGCACGCATTTTCATAGCTGTTCAGCGTGGAAATGCATCAAGTCTCCTAAGTACCCTACCAATTTGCAGTGATTTCATAGATTTTTTTTATCTTTAAGTAATTTTTTAAGGTCTTGTTTTAGATATTTATAGTACGTAAATGTACGGTACATTTGTATATATATATATATATATATATATATATATATATATATATATATATATATATATATATATATATATATATATATATATATATATATATATATATATATATATATATATATAATTATACTATATTATCTTACTAATATATATATATATATATATATATATATATATATATATATATATATATATATAAAATCTAGTAGTAATAATAAACCAAAAAATAGCCTAAGTATATTATTCTCCATCTCATATAGTACCTGTATATCACATTTAACAATGATTAGCTAAGCCATTAAGGCAACAAACAAACTCACTTTCACATTTATAATATTAGTAAAAGTATTCAATAGATATTTAGTTAATGATGATGTTGTTCACACTCTACAGGTAGTAGCAGTGTTCGGTTCTGCTCAAATGGCTGCATCCAGACTGATCAACCTCCAGAAACACCGTATCGCCCAATGCCGTGCCGTACAGATCAACATCCTCGGTGAGGAGTGCGTGCCAGTTCAGGTTGACGGGGAAGCGTGGCTCCAGCCCCCGGGATGTGTGCGCATCATTCATAAAAACAGAGCGCAAATGCTGTGCAGGTCGAGAGCGTTAGAGACCAGTTTAAGGTGAGTAACTTTTTTTTAATATTCAAAGGCAATGATGTATTGAGACGAAATTTTATGTCTATTTTTACTATGTCTTAATCCAGAAATATCTTTAAGGAAAATAAAGAAAATAGAGGAGTTCCTAAACAAAATTATAATTAAAGCAGCTAGTTTAAAAGTTTAAAAAAAATCATTACCCTCAAGATTTTCAATAATCTCATAATATTTTCAATTCTTTTACATTGAAAAATGACTGAACCTAAAATGAAATTTTTCCTTTATAATATATGAAAATGGTCATTGACATTGTGGTATCAAAGGTATTTCCTCCCGCGAACACTCAGGCTGTGGAATGAACTCCCTGCCGAGATTTTCTATCATTCCTCACTGGTACTCCGATAGCGTATACCGATAGCTCAGGCGGGGTTATCATTCCATTATCATCCATAAAAAAAAAACGACATGTACAAAGCTTAGAATAAATGAATCTGTCGTTCAGAGCATGGGACGAGAAGCAGCAGTTGAAGGCGCACGCGCAGGCGGGCGGCGGCGCGGCGGCCGGCGCCCCGCCGGCGCGCGGCGCGCTACCCGCCGCCGAGAGCGCGCAGCTGCTCGCGCTGCTCGACGACGTCAACACCCTCGTCAAGCAGGTCAGCAGCTCTTCAATACCTACTGTACCATACACTTTCACCAGAGAGAGACTTTGTACAAAAATCGTCTGTTCGGATACCTCTATCCCATTCAAGTCTCTGCCATGAAGCAGTTGTGTTTGTATGCTCGATTACCTCTGTCCCTTTCGTACTTCTGCCTTAAAGCAGTTGTGTTTGCATGCCTGTGTTTGGATTGAAGGGTGGGATATGGCAATGAAATTACATTGCACAGTAGCGTAACAATTTAGTCTTCAAGAATGGGGACGCATGAAAGTATGCATTTTCCATCAGGTGGGCATCGTCTTTTTGACGTTCTAAATTGCTTAGAAACATACATTACCGGACATATCTTGAATATCCCATTAGAGTAAGCAGAAACAATGGAAAGCCAGATGTTCCGATTGAAACAGATCTCTTACACCTTTACATTCATCGAACTATTCATATAAACTTGTCGGTTAAAGAAATTGATGGTCTGTGTGAAAATATATTTTCTCTGTCAGTCTGTCAATCTTTATTAGCTTTTTTTGCCAATTCGAGCAGCTTGAAATGGTAAAAAGCCAACGGTCTTACACCTTATAATAAATAGTAACTGTAGCATATGCAGCCATGTGGTCACAGACAGCATCATAAATATCACAGAATAATATTTAGGCATGCATACTACTTCTCACTTTACAGAGATTTAAAAGAAAGACTAGAGTTTCTTGTGAGTTCTTCTCAGCAGATAACAACATCCCAAATCCATCAGTAGAATCATAAAAATTAACGATTTAAAAGAGCTTGTAAACAAAGCATTATTTAAATAAGGATATTCTATATCTGTTCTGTTCTCATGCGTTGCCATTCTTAAAAACTACTATGTGACTTCTCCATACCTGCTATTTCACTGCTATATCCCAAACATCAAACCGAAACACTCCCCAAACACAACAGCTGCTTAACGACAGAAACACGAGTGTTGTAGAGATTCCTACGCAGACAAGATGTATGTGCAGTTTCGCTCTAGTAGATGAACCCCGTATAACATCGATCACAAATATGGGCAGGAAGCATGGGCAGGAAGATGATGGTCTTCTAAAATGTGATAAACAGGTGAAACTAGCATGTATAAGCGAGGGCAGCGTCTCGGGCGGCGTGTCGAGTAGCGTGAGCGTGGCGCGGCGTGTGGCTGCACAGGCGGACGCGCTGCAAGACGCCGATGGGAAATTGCTACCGGCACCGCAGCTGCGCAGACTGCTGGCCACGCTGGTAAGTTCTGATAGAACTGCTTACATAACGTATCAGCTTCTGGAATAAAATCTCTGTAGACCTACGCAGAGCACCCAATAAGCATATTTTTAAAAGAAAACTTTTTAATTATTTGTCGATTCAACAAAACTAGCTCTAGTTACAGGTTATTTAATAGTTTCTATGTCTCTGTGTCTATGTATATATATATATATATATATATATATATATATATATATATATATATATATATATATATATATATATATATATATATATATATATATATATAATTTATGCCACTTTTCGTTGTAATTTTATAACTCAAGAACGGGCTCACCTATTCAAACCAAATGTTTAGGTTTTGTTCGGACTATTTAGTAGATGGTTTATGTGAAGTTTGCACAAAATCGGTCGAGCAGTTCTTCATTTATCAAATTTTTTGTAACAAATGAATTCAATAAATGGTGGATCATTTTTTTAATGGGGATTTTTGTGTCAAATTCAAACTTTTTAAGATGCAAATTGATCTGTCAAATTGTAACTTTGTTCAGTGTTGACAGTACAAGCATGTTGTTATGTCGTTCATGCGGTCATTTTATTTTGGACGTGCTTCGTTTAAAGCAAATTATCAGCGATAATTATTGCTTTGTGTTTATATTTTTAAACATATTGTTGAGTGTTTTATCGTTATGCTACAATAACCACTTTTTTAAATATTGTAAAAATGTCCACCCGTGCAAAGCCGGGACGGGCCGCTAGTTATATATAATTATTTTAGTATGTTACTATAATTATGCTCCATATTTTTCACCACATCGGCCCTTCATACACTTTCTTTTTAGCTGATAGAGAATGCCTGTTAGAGGACGCTGGTAGAGAATTAATGTTTTATTGTGCAATAAAGAATAAATAAACAAATAATATAAAGTTGATAGAATTTTAATTACAACAGTGTACTGGAACTGGGAACCTCTCTAGGCACTTTGGTCATTTATAATGAAATCCTCAAATAATTCACACTTGAAACTGTCAACGATTATGACTGTTTAACAATTGACTGTATTAGTAAAAATTACATCTATCTCGGGTATTATAGTAATATAACTTGATTAATCGAGCTTATTGATCTGACTTATAGGTGGAGAGCTGCCACGAATTGGTGGAAAGCTCGAGTGGGACGGGTGGTAGTAGTGCCGGCGGCGCCGGCGCGGCGGCGGCCGTGCGAGCGCAGCTAGCTCGCGTGGAGGTGCACGACGGCCACGCATACCTGCACGCGGACGAGGTGAGTGGGGGGACAGGGACGGGCACGCGGACGAGCTGAGAAAAAGAGGTGGGGACGCACGACGGGCCTATACAAGAACTTGGTAATGGCTGATCATTTACCAAATTAATTGTTCTAAAATGGTTCCGCTTTACATTGCTTTTATATATATATTCTTAAGGACGAAACAATTGATTCTAACCTTCGAAATTTATTAATAAATACTAAATTAAATATTTTTTATATTATCCCTTACTTCGATAGACGGCGCATTCGGATCACTTTAACTTGGCATCTTGCTCTCACACTATAATTCATAGTTTGCTAAAAACTATATAATAAAACTGTGCAACAGAAGTTTTTGTTTATAAAATTGTTACTGCGCAAATCAAATTTTATTAAAATAATACTCGAGTTATTTCCCAATATCCGTAACATAAATTTTCCAGCAAGGTACCGAGTAAAATCAATCAAATTATAAGACTATCTATATATCTTCACTTATAGCTTCACATATAAAAAAAAACTATTTGCTAACAAACTAACGCGTTACTATTTTATTTTCCTCCACCCTTCAGAGACTCTTGAAAACCCGTAAAGCATACCGTAGACTCTCATTAGATGGCATCCGATTGTATTTCTAGCGAAAGTAGCTCCCTCTATACCCCAACCATGTAGCACACTCCACTTTCGCCCGAGTATCCTTACCGAAATCTTTCATACCCTCGAAACCCATAGATACCGAAGAAGGGCGGCGCCGGGCGCTGGCTCCGCGGGCGGCGAAGCGTCTCCGAAGGTGGTTCCACTTCGACTGTCACCCCAGCCCAAGTGCGCGGCTGGGGCGTGAAAGAAGTACAAACCTGGTTGGAAGGGCTTCAGCTGGGTGAATACGCGGAGGCTTTTGCGAAACATGACGTCACAGGCCGTGAGCTCCTGTCCCTTGCTAGAAGGGACTTACGAGACCTCGGAATTACGAAGGTGGGCCACGTGAAGAGGATACTTCAAGCGGTCAAAGACCTACAGTGACGAAGGCGCGGCCGCTCCGAAGGGGATGGCCATGGATAGTGAATTGGCGGTCTACGGACTTTAACGTGTATACCTAAATATATTTTATAGAGCAGTTTTAACTCTATGTATATTTTTTCTATTCCTGATTGCGCAGATTAATAACTGATAATATTCTTAAAATTTAGATCACTTAGTCTACGGTTCTCATTTTATCATCTATACCTAAAATTATTAAGAATGGCATTATCTGTCAGATTTCATAGATTCAAAATTAAACGATTCTACATTTTTCTAATAATTTTAAAATTACCCAATGGTATTTTGACTTTGAAATTTTTAAATATTTTACCACAAAATTCCAGAGAATATTATTACATGATAAACATTCCAATCCCTTACGGAACCACTTATAAAATTATTTATTTAATACATCTATATTAATATATATAGAAAAACATTACCGTTACATTTTGTTTGAAATTTGACTACTGATATAGTTTCCATTCTCATAGGAAACTCTCTTATATCTACGTTGGTTTTGACATAACCACCCAATTAACTAATCGATCGATCTAATTTATTATTCTATTCTAATATTAACACAGATATTTATCACCCATTAATTGTTTAACCCAACCTCTATTAAAACACATATACAGTTGTTAAAAAATTACCGCGAAATCAATAAGTTTGAAAATCAGGAATGAATATTTCAATTGTATAACGGTTTAAGATGTTAATATACAAGACTGAGAGTTGAACGTTAAAGATTATATCTACTATTGTTATTGAGCGCTTACATTCGGCTAGAAACTCGATATTATCATTAAAAAAGCCTTTAGAAAAAAATTGTGAATCGAACGAACAAAAAGAATTGGAATTGACATGTTCATAAATGGCGGGAACTTAGGGCGCGAAATCTTTGCAGATGTTTTGGTGACAAGTATACTTAATTCAAATTTGGAATTAAATTCATTGTACTGGAAATTGGATAGGATGCAACAATTTTTTTTTAATGGAAACAAATTTCTGCATAAAATGCAATTTTGATTTACAATGCGTCCTGCTCGCTTCAACCCATATATTAGACACATAGGTTGAAGCGAGCAGGACGCATTGTATTTATCAAAACGAAAGTTGAAACATAAATGTTAAAATATAATTTCTGTCAATAAATGTATAATTGTCTAATATAATTTTGAGTCACCTATCTATCCATAATTAAATATTTTGTGCCAAATTTAACCAGACATAAAGTGATAAAATTCATCAAATATTTCAATATAAATTAATTATAATATACAGCTTATATTGTCGTTTTACAGAAACAAAATCCCTAAATTTAAAATACATGATTGCTTCACTTATAAAATATCAAACTTTATATTTGTATCTATTTGTAACTATATACGATAAATAACTTAAACCATAGACAATGAAACTTTTACACAGATATTAATTGTATGCGCTTATGATTGTCTATGATTTATTATTTGATGCTAACTATACATGTTTAATAATTGTGAATTCACAATTAAGTTTGTAACTATATTATCCATTTCCTTAAAAATATTAATATTTTTTATCTACAGTTATAGATCTATCATGAGTCAATAAACTTATGACCCTCATTGGGATTATACCAGACGAATTTATTAACAAATGTCAAATGCCTTTTTCTTTTATATTCAAATTAATATTTTTTAAATACGAAATAAAACATACTGAAGAAATTAATCATTTAGTTTAAATTGTAATTTGTTGGGCATCTCATCCATAGACAAGTTGTAATTTAAATTAAAAAGTTTTCCATATTATCGGAACATAGAGCAATCCCGAAAAAAGTTTAGTAGCTACAATGCCACAAACAACTAAATATAGTTGCTAATAAGCAAAGATTTCATACTTATGACACACCTCTTTTTCTATTAATATTAATAAAATAGGACACGACGATGCCAAAATAAGTAATAATGTAATCACGCTAGCATAACTTAAACTCGAGAAAGGCGAGTAGATATGTGACAAATTGAAAACCTAACACCATGTAAATAAAGTTCAAATCTGCAAATAATTCACTAAGAAGTTACTACCTAAAATTCCCCACAGCTGTAGATAAATACGTTTATTATAAACATTAATTATAAGCTAAACTTCCCTACAAAATAACAGTCCTTACTAATCAGTGCTAGTTATTAATGGCAGAGAAAAATAGACGGTGGAACCGTGCATTTTCCTCTGCCATTGATAAATTGCTGCTTATTTGTAAAATAACCAAGGAGTGTGCAAAATAATTTCGACTCTAATTAATAAATAAGGTTATCTGTCTTATTGTAATGTTGAAAGTACAAAAAAAAAATGTCACAAAGTTCACAGAACACGAACGAGTTTTTGATGAATTATTTATCTTAATAACAAATTATTTACAGGGAATCACTAATAAACAGTATTATACTTATTATTATCTTTAGTAATTGTTTGTACTGAATGTGATTCGATCTCAAAATATAAAGCTGCCAATTTGCCTTCAATTCCACTTCGATATTATACAATTGTGTTACCTATGATTCTAACAACGAACATAGGTGTGCATTCAAGGTAATGTAGATATTTAGCAATTCGTTATTCCATTAGTTAAAACAATAAGCAAAAAAATAAAAAAATATAATCTAGGTCTATTCGGTGATTTAAAAAAAAAATTAAATACTCTATTTTGACAGCTTTACATGAGAATCTGTAAAATGGAAGCACTGAATTCTCATAACATACAGATAATACTCAAAATAACCCTGAGAATTAGTAAAATGGAAGCACTGAATTCTCATAACATACAGATAATACTCAAAATAACCCTGAGAATTAGTAAAATGGAAGCACTGAATTCTCATAACATACAGATAATACTCAAAATAACCCTGAGAATTAGTAAAATAGAAGCACAGAATAATATCAATAATATTTAAGTTGCACACCAAAAATTAATAAATGGAAACTTAGTCAAACAAATTAATAATAATTAATAAGCTGATATTATAGAAAATACTCATAATAATCAGTAAAATTCTTACTGGAACTGAAAAATAGTGATACCTAGTTAAATTCATAAAATAACGACTTACCTCTTCGTTTTACCAATTCTCATTTACAGTCTCGTAAAAAAACAGAATAATGTAAATTGTCAATAATTATATCGAGTCGTAGAATTATTAAAAGAGATTTTTTAAATAATTCTACAATTTCATATAATTTAACCGAATTCAGTCACATACGAATATTTTGTGAATTTTCACAAAAACTATCAATATGAATTACAAATGTGTATCATTTTGAGGCCCTATCATGAATCACCAAAGTGACCATTTTAGACCACATAGTAAGAAAATTAAAAAAAAAAAGAATTCTATGATGATGCTTTTCTTGTTGACAATTTTATTCAAGTTGTAAAATAGTATAATAGCAATAATAATAATTCGAAATTTAAAACAATAGTAGGCTCTAAAGTGTTACCAGGCGTAGAATCATACTAATTTAGTACTATTAGTTATACTGTGATCATACGTAGGCACGACTCACGCACAGATTAACTAAAATTTTTTTTAATACTTCAATATCATGTGTATTTAATTTCCGAACAGATGTTAAAGAACTTCCACAGATAGGACAATTTACACATAATGAGATAAATTAGTAATAAGTAAATTACCCTATTACGTGAAATGATTTTTTTGTAATCGAGGACAACAATCAGTTTTTAATGGTTTGATCAACGATTATGAACTATCGTAATTATCTAAGTTTATGGGATATTTATACGCGTGAGCTTCAAGTACCAACCTACCTATGCATAACTTTAAATACTAGTGATTTAGAATATAGATATTTCAGGATTCATAATAACGGCAAATAGATTACAACTTCTCTAATATTTTTCTGTGATATTTTATATAGCAAGTCAGATACTGATAGGAAGATTGAAGAAGGCAGTGGCAAGTTTACCTTAATATTTCTTGCTTATTAATTTTTTCTGCAGCATAAAATGACAAACAAGCTGACAGCCCACCTGATAGTGAGTGGTAACCGTCACCTATATACATGAACAGTATCATGGACATTACAAAGTATAATCTGTCGCCCATGATACACTTCATACGTTACTTACTATTCCTGACGACTAAAGTTTTTTTATAGTTATTTATTTTAAAATATTGCCATACCTTCTGACCTAGTTTCCAATCATATTTATTACAATTTGTTTATCAATGAAATTGTAACTTACGATTTAAAAAAAATATATATTTAGACACCAAATTTGCCAGTACTCAATTCTGCCGTCATTAACTCTAATCTATCACTCTACTAGTAAGTCTGTCACTGAATATAGGTATCATCAGTAATATACAATTTAATCCTGCAATACGTCATTACAAATAACTGTTTTAGTATACGATGTGATTTATATAATAAGTATTTAAAATAGTAGTTTTTTTTACGTAACAAACATTTTAACATCCAAATTTAAAATCCTGAAATGTAATTTCCACATATACCTAAATACTTTAATACATACAAAAAAAAATAAATGATAAAACATTCATATTTTGCGCTTAAGTGTTTTGAAACTGGGAATCTATTTGCTGTTACATAACCGTTTTTACATATAATGCACAGTCAATAAACTATTAAATAGTTGCACAGATATTGTGGCCGATTTAGAGGTGCCATTTCTATAAACTTATCTCTAAAAATAAAAATTTTATTAGATAACACAGCGAAATCTTTATTTTAAAGACCAATGTGAACTAAATGTCTAACAGATTAAAGTCATAATTATTATAAATTAAATTCTTATTCATATAAATCTACAATATTTGAGCTATCGAATTATTTTGTTTTTTTGTTACTAACCTTCCAATTTTAAAAAGCGAAAATACACTGTATTCCTTAAAATAGATTTGTATTAGATTGAATTGAATTTTTATTTTTAGTTTTCATGAATAAGGAGATTAGTTTATGATAATCCATAAAACAGTAATTTTACGAAACTATATAAATAAAAGGTTAAGAGATAGATCTAAAGAAATGACGCCTCATAATCGACCTTATGTATTACGATATACCTATAGTGATTGCATAGCTTAGACACTAGTATAGATTAATTTGGTATCTAGATGCATACAATACAATACAGCAATAATATAAACAGCCAGATATAAATTATTGAATTGTCTGAAAACTATTCTAAAAAGTTCCAAATGCAATCTTTTGCGCCATATATTTTTATGTAGAACGTAGTAAAGAATTAATATTGTATTTTTTTTTTATTTTTATTTGTTTATCAAAATGTCTGAATTTAAAACGACAGTCGAACGGTGATAACTACAAGAGTAATAAAATTGCCACTTCGTATTATTCATAATACAGAGTATCTCAAAAACTATTCATATTCCCAATAGATACACTTGACAATTTTTAAATAACCATAAAATTGGTATGTACTATAAATATAAATGGTTTAATTTAAATGCAAAATTGTTAAAAGAAATACTACGAATTCCATTTTAAAGTTTCTCGTTGAATTGTTAATTAATTAAAAATATGTATAAATTATTTTAAGAGGATATTATGAATAACTAAAGTGGTAATTTTAGACTACCAATTCGACTTCGAAGCGCTGATATTTACTATGATTCATTTGAAGGATTACTAATTAGATATTATTGACGCTAGCTTGCGAGAGAAAAGTTAATGTTGCTCTAATATATATTATTCGATATTACAATATAGAGAACAAGATTTTAAATGCTTAAAAATAAAAAAATGAAACAGTTCTAGTAGATTAAAACAAATATTTGGATAGTAGGTAAGTCGTAAACCAGACCAGCATTTTCTTATAAAATATAATATTCCGATTTTTTTTTAATGGATGATTTACCCCGCCTTCGATATTGGTACACGCTGGCGAAGGATGACAGATAATGATGAAGCAGGTCAGTTGGCCCATCGTAATGAATTCAACAATAAATCAATTACGATGCATTCCAAGGGGGACCGCGTGGAGGTCAACCTGTTAGGATATATTGCTAGCAATGGGATTGAATAGAAAAATTCTAAACAGAATTGAAAGCTATCTATAACAGTGTATGCAGAACTGTAAACAGCAATTTTGATAATTCATAATAAGACACGTATAGAATAGAATAATGTCTTAGAATAATAATAATAATAGTCTACCAATATATATTAAACTGTCTGAAATAAATAAATATTAAGAAATCTAGATTCTCGTACGAACGACTCAATCAGATGAATAGCAAATATATATCGTTATAG